AGGGGGGGAGGGGAGAGACTTTCGGGAGAGGAGAGGGAGAGGAGGGGGCGGTGGGTTCGTGGCAGCCTCACCGAGTCCCGCTGTGGAGGGAGCCGTCCTCTGCGCAGAGGACGAAGCCGCTCCAGCTGGAGAGGTCGCCCGCAGACTCGGGGAAGGCACTCACCTGCGGCCGGCCCGCCGCCTCGGCCGAGTCGCTTCCCGCCGTCATGAGCTCGAACAGGTCCTGCTTGAGGCGCGCCTGCGGGGAGGGGCGCCGCGAAGGCTCCGAGACGCTTCCTCCTGGCTGGAAGATGGATGGCGAGATGGCGAGGGGGGGGGAAGGGAGGAGGGATGAGGAGGGGGAAGAGGGGAGAAGGGCGAGGAGGGAGGGTGGGATGAGGGCGGAGCGAGGAGGAGGAAGCGGAGCGAGGAGAAGGAAGAGGCGCGCCCGAGCAGCAGAGGAGCCGTGAGCAGCAGAGGAGCCGTGCCCTCTTGCGGCTGAGTCGGGGCTCGAGCGGGCGGGGCTCGAGTGCGAGCGGCCGACGCGGGGCAGGGTGGGCGCTCGTCGCAGGACGGTGCTCGGCGTTAGGTTCTCCTTGTTCGCCTCTGCCGACACCTCCGTCCCTCCGGAAGGAGGAGGCGCACATGAGGCTGCGGCGGCCGCTTCCGGCCCTGCACCGATGGGGCGGCGAGCGCGACGCCGGCCGTCGACGGTGGTGGGGGCCTGGGGTGTGGCCGCCGATGCGGGCGAGAGGGCCCATCGCTCACAAATCTCGCGCCGAGCGTACTCGCGCCGCGGCGACCGTTGCTCTTCTGGCGCCTCGACCGCCCACCGCGAGCGTAGCAGGATTCGCCAGACGGCGGCGGCGCCGAACCGCTCCGCCAGGGCGTGGGAGCAGGCGCACAGCTGCGAAATCGAGTCGGCGTCGGCGACTCGCGCGAGGCTCTCGGGGATGCCGTCACACTCGGCCGCTCGGAGCAGCGGCGGCCCCCTCTCGTTGTCGTCGGCGTCATGGAGGCTGAGCAGAAGCACCTCCTCCCCGCCGATCGCGTCGCTCTCATGCCGGAGGCCGAGCGAGGCGTCCGGCATTTCGTTGGGAAGCGCTAGCCGGCGATCAGGCGAGCAGGGAGGGTGGGAAGAAGGGAAAGAAGGGTGGAGTTAGCGATCTGCTTGAGCGTTATTCGAGCGGGGTTTTGCGAAAAAAAACTTTCGCCGAGCTTTTTGGCGTACAGTCTGTTGCGGGCATTAAGAAAACGTACCATTAAGAAACCACGCCGAGCGATTTCCGCGAAAATCTAAGAAACCGCGGCGCCCCGCAGGCGCGGCCCCGAGAAAGGGCCCACACACGAGTGTGAACAGGAGCCCCGCTCAAATTTTCTCTTCGCCTGCGGCGCGCGCACTTGTCATTTTGCCCAAGCAAGTCTGCGGTGTTCTGGGCGGTGTGGATGGGAGGTGTGTGCGTCTTCCTGTCATCCCAAGTGGGTGGCAGAAGTCGGACTGGCGACATCCGGAGCGGTCCAGCGCTTCCGTATTGTCATTTTACCTAAACATTCCTAGATCCCGTCTCACTCACCTGTGGGGTGCCGGCCGAGGCTAAGAAACCACGGCGTGGGGTGGGTGGGGTGGGTGGAAAGGCTTAGAAACGGCGGCGTGCCGCGGGATCCTGTTTTCTTAATGCCCGCAACAGACTGTATGGCCCGTTTTACCCCGTCCTTGCCCCAAGCGCATTTATTATAATAGGCAACATTGGCACGGCGGTATTTTGCGGTTATGTATGTAAATAGTGAGACGATTTAGGTTTGGGGCAGAAAGAGTGGGAGAACTTTTCGTTCGGCGCATGAAGCATGACCTGTGGGCGGCGGGAGAGGGTGAGCCTGAGCGAGCGGGCGTGCATTGGCAGCGGGCGACGCGGAGCTTCCGCCGGAGGACGACGCGGTCGAGATGGCGAGCGCCGTCCACGTGCTGGACAGCGTGGCGGAGGTGGGCCCGAACTACACCCTGCTGCGCAGCAAGCCGAGACGAAGGCGAAGCGACGGAAGCGAAAGCGCGAGGATGCCAGGGCGGCGCTCGACGGCCACACTGTCCTGTCCACCGGATCGCGCCTCGAGATCTTCTGCGACAGTGAGCGGTGTTACAATTGTACCCTGCGACCGTCATGGCGCGGGAGGAGGACGGGGACGCGGGACGGACGGATCGTGCACGAGGTCGAGTACGACGGCTACTCGGGTCGGCGGTGGTGGCACATACTGGACGACGAGCGGTGGCGCGCCGTCCCAGAGCAGGCCGGCGCGGGCGCAGGCCTAGGCGCAGGCGGCGCTGCCGCAGACGGGGATGGGGATGCGGCGATGGACCGCGCGGACGGCGAGCACAGGGCGCCCGTGCCGCGGGCGCCGCCGAGGCGGCCGAGGTGCGGCCGGCGCCGCCTCCTGTGCGCCGGGGTGTGCGGCGCAGCGCGCTGGCGGACACCCTCGAGGCAGAGGATGACGAGCAGCAGGAGGAGGCTGCGCGCGGCGATGAGCGGCTGATGCTAGCGCCCCACGGGCCGGCGCTGTCGGTGCAGCTTCGGCGCGTGCGCCTGCGGCTGCGCGAGTTCCTGGCGACGCAGGCCGCGGCGGGGAAGAGCGTGCCGATGCAGCGGACGGCCCTCGGTCTGCACCCGACGGTGCGGTGGACGATCCGCTCTTCGGCAAGTGGCTGGCGACGACGCGAATCATCGCGCCGAGGGCGAGCCGGTGGCACGCGACCGAGCGGGGCGACGCGCGGGAGGAGGAGCCGACGGTGCGCACGGGTCGCGGCGAGAACACGGTTTACATCGGGCTGCAGCACATGAAGAACCACGTGTGGCGCGAGATCTGGCCGGCGATGCCGAGCGACGCGAGGCAGTACTGGCGGCTGGTGACCAACCAGGTGATGTCGCTGTACGACGGCGCACGGCGGCGGCGGCGGGATGAAGGACGCGGCAGGAGCCGCTGGCCAGGCGGCGGGCCGCGAGGCGGCGCGGGAGAGCGCGTCGCACGGGCAGAGTAAGGCGGCGCAGCGGGCGGCGAGCGAGAGGGCGAGCGCCGAGGCGAGCCGGCGGACGATGGCCGAGCTTCGCGAGGCGACGACGAAGCCGAGCATGAAGCAGCACCTCTTCCAGGTGGGAGAGTACCAGATGCAGGACACGCAGCTGATAGAGCCGTTCGAGGTGAACGTGGCCTTCATTATGAACGCCTACTTGTGCTTCGCGCGGCAGACCGGGTGCCGGCCGGCGAATGGCGGTGAACGACGCGGCGGACGCGGTCGATTCGGACAGCCACTGGCGCGCGTCTCCCGCTGAGAGAGAGAGAGAGAGGCGAGTAGGACGGCGCGGCGTTGGCGTGTGATGGGGCGAGATGCCACTGAGCCGTGGTACCCGCAAATACCCCGGTATTTTGCCGATTTGGCTGATTTTGGGCCCAAACCAGCTGATTTTCGCGGAGTTTCCTCGAGAGGGTGCTGTAGAGAAACACGGAAAGGAAACGAGACGGGGTGAGCAAGGAAACATGCACATGTACGTACTGTTAGCTCGCTGGGAGAGAAGGGAGAGGGGGTTGCGTTCTCTAGGCCCCTAAGGGCCCTACGCGCGGCATGAGAGCTCGGAAGCGAGTGCGTACCTGGAAAACCCCGGGTATACCTGGAAAACACCCTGGGTATTTTGCCGGTTTCCTCGGTTTCGCCTCAGATTTTGCCCCAGACCAGCTCTCAGACTCAGGGTACAGGGAAACTGGAGAGTTGACAGAATGGAGCTCCGAACACCCTCTGGAGTGGAAATTTCCGGAAACGCAAAGTGCTGGGGACCCTTTGGTTTCCCTCTGGGTTGCCGGAAACTCTCGTACAGGCCAACTAGCAACGCACACCTTCCTTTTCCCCCTGTGTGGTGGCGGCGTGCCGTCCTCCCATCCCTCCATTAGTTTTTTGCTTTCTTTCCTTGTACACTAGGCACGTAACTGGTACGCACACTGGCACTAACACAGGTACACCACGGGAGCCGCCTAAGCGACTCCTGCGAAAGAGAATTTTGGCGCCCCGGAGCGGTTCATTTATTACTAACGGTGGAGCTGGAGGATGGCTAGCGCCGGATCTGGCGGCCATGGTCTGGCGGTCTGCACTGGGTCTCCGCGACACCGCGACTCGTCACACGCCGCGGCGTGCGTGACTCGCTTCGCGCGCGTATCCGGTCTCGGCGGAGGGCTCCCTCAGGACTGAGGCTGTGGCCCAACCTCGTCAGTTTCGTCCTCTCTCTCTTCACACCCTATTCCGGCGTGGTGTGACTGCTGGTGCGTGTAGCCCCCGCGCCCCGGTGCCGGGAAGCGGGTATACAGTAGAGCGCGGTCGTTAGAGCGCCTGAGCGCGCGGCGGCGGCGCGAGCGCCGGGCGGCCCAGCGGCTCAGAGAGCGGACGGTGCGAGGCCCACCTTCTCCCGTCGATCGCGCGCCACACCAGCTAGTCTGGTCCTCAGCACAAAAGATTTGTAAACTCCCCGGTGGGACCCCGCCTCCAGCCGACAGGTGACACACGGCGAGAAGCCGAGAACGTGCTAAGAGAGAGGTGTGACCAAAGAGAGTCTCTCCACCGGGCTGCCTGGCCGGCTGCGAAAACATGCAATCAACGCGTATGTACACTGCCCTCGACGCGCTCGCCGATGGTGTCTGCGAGGGCCGCGAGCGGGCCCGCGCTCAGCGGTTGCCTCTGCGGTCTTACTCCATATCGCCGGTACGCCTCCTCCGCGTACTCTGCACGGAAGGCCCAGACGTGCTCGCCTGGGAGCGAGCGCGCCCGCTCGTCTCTGCGGCGGTTGAGGCGGTCCTGCATCGCCGGCACCTTGCCCTGCAGGCAGTCTGTCCAGTCGAAGAGGAAGCGCGGGCAGTCCTCGTGGTGGCCCTCGCGGTAGTAGGACGTCAGCTGGCGGCCGGGAGTCATGCACTTCATGTACTCGTTGAAGGTGCTGAGGCACTCGTGCTGCGCCCTCCCCTCCTGGTAGCGAGCCTCCAGCTCCTCAACCGGCGAGGGCATCGTGCCGCGAAACCCCCGACGACTTTTCGGTAAAGAATTTTCGAACGAAACCTCGCCGACACACTATGCGATGTCCCTGATCGTCCTTACAAGATCCTGCTCGTGCAGGTGGGGACCCTGTCCTTCTCCCACCCCTCGTTTGGCGTGCCCGTTTTATTTATTTATTTACACTATGCGAGAGAGATCCCCTGTGCTCTGTGCCCAGCCATCTCCGCGTGGCGATGCGCCCTCCCCCCTCGCTTTTGCAAAATCCTGCAAAGGTGGGGACGTGTCTGTCCTCGACCCAGCCCTAGCTTGGGATGTGCGTTGTATTTATTTATTTATAGGCACGGGCACGGGACTGGCGCGCACTGGCACTAACACAGGAGAAAGAATTTTACAACCCGTCCCTCGCACGACACTAGGCACGGGACTGGCGCGCACTGGCACTAACACAGGTACACCTGATGATAAAGAAAAAACAAATTTCGGCAATGTAAAAACAAAAAGTTGGAAGCAATGTACGTAAGAGCTACATACACTGAAAGAGAGAAGAAAAACACAAACGCACTCTCTCACGTTACAAGGGACATTCTGCGAGATGCCAAGACAGGGGGGGAGAAAGGTGTGGCGGAAAGGTGCCACCGCGGTGCCCACCGGTGCCCGCCAGGAGCGCCGGCCTTGGAAGAAAAAACAAGAAAAAGCAAAGGCCGCAATTCTCTTTCGGGAATGTACGCACATGTACATGTGCATGCAAGAGCTACATAGAATGAAAAAGAGAGAAGAATTTAAACAAAACAACTCTCTCTCACAGCCAGACAGGCTCGACACAGGTGCGAACTGGCGCGTGCTAGCACTATCACAGGCACACAAGAGAGAAGAAAAATCGAGCTGGTTGGCGTCGTGATTGTTTGGTCATCTGAACGATAAAGGGCTCGGCGCGGCGGCCGAGCCTCCGCCTACTCGGCGGCCATGCTGGCCCCGGATCTGCCTCGCCTCGTGCTGCTGCACAGCACTCACAGCCACGCTCATCACGCTCGTCCTCTTTCGTGAGGTACTCTGGCCACCCGACAACTCGCGCTTTTATTACCTGCGGCCGCCCCTAGCATCACTTCACCTCGAAATCGACATGTCACCACATGGTCGTTATGTAAAAGCGCCCCACTATCGTGTGTGAGTTTGACCGTTCTTTTTTGACCCTTTTTTATACCGCGGTAAAGCCGTACCGCGCTTCGTTCCAATCTCCAATCAAAATCGCGACACGTCTCTCTCTCTGAACAGAAGCTCTTCGATCATGCGAGCTCAATAGACTGGTCTTCAACGCGCGCGACTCTGCAGAGACGCTCGGCTGGGTCAGACCATCCCTGGTGTGGACGGTTTTTTTCCGGTATGGCTCCGGCTCAGGTCGTGGGGCATAGCTCGGGTGTAAACGGGGTCTGGGGCGGAGGCCCCAGCGGCCCGCCGCAGGCGCCGCCGGAGGCTGGCCCGCCGCAGGCGCCGATTTTTTTGGCGTTTTTTGCTCAAAATTGAGATATTTCTCATCAAATTCTCATCAAAATCGAGCTCGCTACGAGCTCTCTAACTGCACAGCATCTCCTCGTTGAGCCTAGCGGCGCCCGTATCGCCCACGTCCACATTCTTCTTCTTCTTCTTGCCCTTCTTGCCCTCGGCCCTTGCTGCACTTAGCCGCTCAACCTCCGCCAGCAGCAGCTCCTTGGCATGCCGCGCCGCCTCCATCTGCTTTGCCTCCCACGCTGCCGCTTCCTCTAAAGCAGCGCCGCCACTAAGCGGCGCAACCAAGTTCTCGCATTGTTTGCATGAGCACGTGTCCTGCTTGGCGCGGCGCACAATCCGCGCGCGGCGAGTGAGGTGCGTGAGAGCAGAAGACTGACAGCAGGAGCTGCAGGAGCTGCGCAGGTCGGATGGGCGGTGACGCCGTCGAGCCACGGCGCAAAGGCCAATCGCTGCTGCTGCGCTAACGAGAGCGGCGACACGAGGCTGCTGGCAGCTGGCAGAGCGAATCGCGATTTCCGGCGGCTGCCGTCAGCCCGCCGACACCGACGGCCTGGCTGAGGTCAAACTCCTCCACACGTCGGACCAGCCATGCGTCGGCCACGGCGACGAGACGTCTGCGTGCAAACAGCCCACCACCTGGACGATTGAACATGCCAGCTGGGCTCTACCAGGGCTCTCGTGGCCCGTGGCGCGAAACCCAGGTGAAACAGGCGGGCTGCGGCGGGCGCATAAACTATTCACAGCTAATGAAAACTATTTAAACTCGCGGCTTCATCAAAGTTTGAGGTGTCTTCGTCCTCAGGACCATCAAGACAGCTCTATTCACACCCTATTTGGTTTGAAGACACTCGGGGATGCCCGTTTACACCCAATCGACAAGTCGCTGGGCCCTCTGACCTGAGCTGGAGCCGTATCCGCGGCGGGATATGGCGGGATATGGCGGGATACCGGGAGATACCGGGAGATACCAGAGATACACGAAGATATGATGAGATACGGAGCCCCCATGATGGTGTTCACGACAACGTCCGTGAAGCGTGAAACCGCAAATCGGACGACGCGACGGGCGAAACTTCGCGCTTCGACCGGCCGTGCGGCTAAGTTCCCATGATTGGCGAGAGCTCGTCATCTCATCGATAAAGCATCGCAAGGGTGCACGTGTCAGCTCGCGTGTCAGCTCGTGTGCCTTCTTCAAAGACACTGCCCTTTTCGAAGCACAACGGGTCTAACAAACTTTCTTTTTTGTTTGCTCGCGCTCTGCCGAGAGGGCTGCTCGGCGCGGCCCCCGGTTCGAAACCTGGTCGACCCTTATATTTTTCGGGCTCAATTTTGCTCTAGGTGCCTCCTACGATTCGATCCCGCGTTCTCAGGCAGTCGCCTGGTGCGTTGTTCGTTTTCGTCACGGGAGGCCCGACATTAGCAGATTAGCTGGCGTTTGACACGCGAAACAAAGTTCTCCAACCACCCACGTGAGGCCAGGCGACACATCCTCCCCTCTGCCCCCCACCCCAGAGAGTGAGATATAGATTAAGAGAGAGAGAGAGAGAGAGAGAGAGAGAGAGAGAGAGAGAGAGAGAGAGAGAGAGAGAGAGAGAGAGAGAGAGAGAGAGAGAGAGAGAGAGAGAGAGAGAGAGAGAGAGAGAGAGAGAGAGAGAGAGAGAGAGAGAGATTGACCCCGGACACAGTTATTGTTATGGTGTTATGGCTCTCTGGGCTTAGCAGCCCATAACATGTTATGGGTGTTATGCGTGTTATGGGGCCGGGCCCATAACAGCCATAACACCCATTGATAACATGTTATGGGCTGCTATGAGAGAGCCGTCCCGGGTCCACGCACCAGGGTGATATGGCCCGAGAGGCCACGCCGAACTGCTCGCCGCTGGAATTTTCGCTTCGCGCGCTGCCGCGCGCGAGGTTCGGCATCGATCGCCAAATGTTTTCTCTTTTGCCCTGAGCCAGCGAGTTGTACGTGTGCTCGTCCTCCGTCGACACAGACAGCACATAGTTGAAGCCGGGAATTCTCTTGAAGTCGGAGACGCGCAGGTCAAATGACCTGGGCTTCTGGCTCTTGAACATCTTCATCCGGTAGGCCATGGTTGGCTGAATGGCTGGTAGTAGCTACGCGGCGCGGGGCGGGCGCTCCAAAAGAAGAATTTTATTGAACAAACACCGGGATACGCGCGGGCCGCGGCGCCGGCGGGGCCCCTCCTTTGAAAAAATCCACAGAAAGGTCAAATTCGGTTTTGGCCGAGTCATAACAGCTGTTATGAGGTTGTTATGCTGGCTGTCATAACAACCAGTGGGAGGTGTTATGAGTGCGATGAGGTGTTATGAGGTGTTATGGGGTGTTATGAGCAGCCAGCCATAACAGCCATAACACCTGTTACTGTTATGGGTGCTCCCATAACCTTGTCTGGGGTCAAGAGAGAGAGAGAGAGAGAGAGAGAGAGAGAGAGAGAGAGAGAGAGAGAGAGAGAGAGAGAGAGAGAGAGAGAGAGAGAGAGAGAGAGAGAGAGAGAGAGAGAGAGAAATGTGTTATCAAGGGCTTCTCCTGCGGAGTCGACAGTCGTGCGTGTGCGCGGGGCCGCTCCTCTTTGCTTTCTTCCACCCTCCCTACTATCGTCTCGTTCCCGTCCTGCCAGAGAACAAGCACCAATTCTCATTGCTCGAATGCCGTCGAGCGTTGTTGCGGACTCCTGCAGTGCACTCACTAACCGCTCAATGGTTGGGTAGTAGGGCTAGAGGGTCGCTCTACACTTAGCCTCTGCATGCAGCGAGCGAGCGCTCAACTTAGCCCCCGCACGGAGCCGGGCTCAGACTTAGACGCTGTATGGTCGGGGGCCATGAACTTAGACGACACAAGGCCAACTCCGGGTAAAACCCGGGTATACCTGCAAAAGTCCAGGTTACCCGAAAAATACCTGGACGGGTCCCGACCAACGTGCACGATGACATATCGCTTCCTCCCAGGGCCAGTGCGCTACTTGCGGCGCGCAACGCCTGCTCAAGTACGCGCAACGTACCATATGCTGCCGCTATGCGTGCCTTAAGGCGGCTGCGGCGAAGCGGCGGGCGCGGCATGCCGATGGCAGTGCGGACGATGCGGTTGCGATGTGTTCTGTGCTTCAAGACCGTGGCGGTGCTTGGCATGCACTTCTGCGATCCCAATCAGCTCATCGCAACGAAGCAGCGCAACAAGCTGGCTGCTGCCAACAAGGCCCTATGCTACCTCACGCGCGGATCGTTCAAAGAGGACCAGCATACACAGGCTTCTCTGACATGCGTTTGTTTGAGCTTGAGGCTATTTGTGAGAACTGTTTGGCGAGAAGTCGCCGAAGATTGCGCTCAAGAAGCAGCAACGAGAATCGGAAGAGGAGGATGCTGAGGCGGCGATTGCTGAGCATGAGAAGGATCGATCGCCCGCCGCAGGCGAAGAAAATTTGGGGGCTGCGCCGAGCGCCGTATCGTTGCGGTACTTTGATCACGGTGCTCGGTGGCGGGGTGGGAGCCTCTTGGCCCCAGGCCGTCCACGGCCGACTTAGCCGATGTAAGAGGCTCCCGCTGATCTTAGACCGCGCAAGCACTCCAGCGTGGCTAGCCACACTTAGACCCGTTAGGCCTCCAGGCTCAGAACTTAGACTACTACCCAACCAGTAACCGCTCTCGCCCGCGAGACCCCGTATATCCCCGACGCCCCGGCCCCCGCGAGCAGCTAGTGACTAGTGTGATGGTTTTGAGATTTGTGTACTTCGTAAGACCTCAAAACCGTATCGACAAACTTTGCATGGCCCTTGTTATGCGCTCGGTACTGCGACGGTGTATCAGTCGCCCTATGCCACC